GAGAGGCTGTAATTAATTGGCCCTATTATACCAGCACTTACCTTAGAAAAATCAGCCATTCCTTATTTCCTACTGGTTTACTTTTCTGAGGTGTATGGACCCTTCAAATTGTTGGAATGAGGCTACTTGCCTTGATATAATGGTTGACTGCTACCTCTTGTGACTCGAGAGTTTTGTTTGTTTTTGTCATTATCAGAGGAAAAAAATAGCAAGGAGGAGTCAATCCTTCCTCCTTTGGGGATAGTACCCAGCAAACAAGGAGACTTAAAATTGCATCCTGCAGGTTCTTAATTGGTAACTTTATTAAATCAAGGAAATAACCAATTTACAATATTCCCAGCCCTTTTCCTCTTTAGAGCTGGTAAATATTTCTGAGACCAGGAAACCGTGGATGCATTTTGTGTTCACATTGGCACCTCCAGGGTGGCAAGAGCTGGAATATATACTCTCAGTTTCTGCTTTCATATGTACGCAAGGCAGAGACACTACAATGCCCCGTTCATGGCCGTTCTCCCTCATTATACAAACATGCCTCATAAATTATAGGCCTTGGCCCAGATAGAGGAGGTTGTGTTTATCTGTTATCCATGGGAGTGCCCCTTAATGTCATCAGTGTTTCCCCCCCTTTCCTTACCATATAAGGGCAGAAGTTTAACTTGGCTGTAGTCACTTGGTATTACACAGCAAGTCGGTTGAAACCTCTGTATAACTACAGTTTGCATGAAATAAAAAGACCTGACCTTTGATCCTCCCTTGCTCCTCTCTGGTTCAGGCAGGACTTTGAAAATATTCCAGATTTTTAGGATATCATAATGTTCTCCCACAATTATTTATCTGTTGCTATGTTTAATTTTTTTTTTTTTTTGAGTTGTGTTGTCTAAAGCACCTGGGTACCCTGAAAATCTAGGTCTCATGAAAGTTTTTTTTCAAATCTGATTTTGGGGTAATATTTTGCTATATTGGGTCAGGCATGCTCCTGATTGCTGTGTAGTAACCTTGTTGGGGTGGCCCGGGGAGGGAAGCGGTATGTCTGTCCTTATTTTCTGTGTAGGTGGTTAATTCCTCGGTGGGGCAGGGGGAACAAAGAGGAGGAGACAGGGCTGACCATGCAGCTAACTCTGAGGTACTTCACAAGTGCAGAGTTCCTGGTGGTTGTTGAACAGCAAAACTGCAGGAGGACAATTGGTAGTCTTTACTCATATACAGTCTCGTTTCTGCGTAGCTCATTACATGCTGGGATACAATAGCTCTTTTGAAGTGAAAGTAGCATCCCAAACTGAAAGACTTCACCAGCAGCATCAACACATGGGCTGTTGTTAGAAGCAGCTAACCCAGCACATTAAGGGTAATTTCTGTTCCTGGAAATAAATTGCATCTGGGGTCTTGACCCTTCCCAAACACCTTTATTATTTACATCTGCATTTTAAATGACAGATGGTCATGCGGCTGTGAGCTTGCACTGGCAGAGGCAACAGCAGGTAAAGTCTTAAGCAAACTGCCCACGTGCTGTGCCTTAGACAGTGCCTCACTCAGAACTTAGAAAAAAGTAGAAATAAAAGCTAGTGAAGGTAAGGTATGTGGGCCTTTTGAACACAAAACATAATTCTCTCCCCCTTCCAAAAAAAAAAAGGAAAAATAAGAGAAAGAAAGAGATGAACTCTGGGTAACCAAACAAAACTGCAATCAGACTAGTAGGGTGGGACCTGAGAAGCCAGTGAGAGCCCAGATTTTTTCCCAGGGGAACCTTACAGAGGTAGGTGTACCCCGAACATTGCTCTCAAGTGTAGGCTGTAATCTACAGGCACCTTTGTCTGTAGACTATACAGACAAAGCTCTGAAACCTCCGGGGCAGTGGGCATTGCTTCTAGGATTGAGAGCAAGTACACCGCGTCCCTATGTGAGCTGTTACCCACGAGTGTTACTTGACGGTTTTCAATTTATACCACAGCTTATTTCAAAAAGGATCGAGAGGACTTGTTTAGCAGATACTATTTAATACAGTAACTGTTCTCCTAGTCCTGGCTGGTCTCTGTCACTCAAGGCCATTGTGTGGGTGGGGGTAGCTGTAGAGGACGTCCCACTCTGACTTAGAAAGAAAAAAGACTCCAGGGGTGAGAACCACCAGTCCCAGGGCTCCCGTGAGGTCCCAGAGGCCATCAGGGAAGTGACAGCCAGCACACAGCGAACCAGCCACTTGGATTTTAGTCTTGTCCCCCGCTGACGGCTGTGGACCTGAGTATACTTCAGCGTACTGGGTCAGAGATCCCACCCTCCTCCTGTTTTCTTTTGAAGGAAGAGCTAGGAGAGTGTTTCCCACAGGACTTGTCAGCTTTTAGGTGGTGGGCAGGGACGATGGAGGAATGGAACAGGCTGCTTTTTTTTACTGCGGTGAAGATTCTTGCCCTCCCCTCTGACCTGAGTTAGAATCTCTAGGGATAGAGGCTGGAAGTTTGTATCCTTGATACACATCTCCTAGTGGATTCTGACACTCAGCCAGTTGTGGGAACTGCTGGAAGATGCCTAGCTAGATGTTTTAGCTAGTCCTTCCAGCCAAACAATGGAAGCCTCTGTTTTGCAGGCCACCTGTAGGTCTCCGTGTGCACCAGTCCGGCTCCAAGAACAGATCTCCATTCCCAGTCATTGCTTGTGTGCCCTGTGTGAGGCCCTGTTGGCTGGTATTCCATAGGTTACAACCCGTAATGTCAAGAAGTATAAGATTCTGCCAAGTGCTCCTGGGGAAAAAAGAGTTAGTGACATTTATAAAACAGTGTCCAGAGTTAAAGGAAAGAATGGGGGAGGGAGGAGTAGAGTAAGAGGGAAGATACAGACTGATAGGGGGGACTTCTCAGGGAGGGAGGTCTTGTGTGCAGAGGTGGAAATAAACATGGGATACTGTCTCCTTACTGTCCAGTGCTCCAGCTGTGTGGGAAGCTGACCTAGACTGGCCTGTCACCCTCAAATTTCTGTTCCTAGGTCATAAGCATTCTCCTTTCTATGACTACAGCGTCCTGAAGGCTGGGGCGCAGGGTGAAAGCAGAGCAGGGAAATTACAATGTAGTGGCTGCCCCCCCCCCAAAAAAGTGGTTTTAAAAATTTTGTTAACATTTCTCTGTCCACACCACCTGTAACAAGGTACTTGCCTTTATATTAATAATAATAAGTAAAGAAAGGGGGGATACTTTTGCATATATAATCTAGACATTCTACTGAGGGTTGGTTGGTTGGTTGGTTGGTTGGTTTTTGCTCTTCATTTTTGTTTTTAACTTTTAAAGTTGCTTACTTGTTTCCCCCATTCATAAAAGAATAGAATTTTACTGAACAGGGAAAAAACAAAAGTGAAGAAAGCTGACCTGACTCAAAAGTATGCTTAATGTAAACTCCTTCCGGTTTTTAAAAAATAGGGCTAAAGACTTTAAAAAGACAGTTCCGTCTACTTAAGAAATGTGTTATTCCTGTTACACTCACCCCTTCTCCAAAACAACACCAGTCACCGGCCTGTCAGACTTAGCGGGGCCCCTTACTCACGGCGCATCAATAATGATTTCCTTCCTGGGCCAGGCCGGTTGTAAACCGTCCTCCTCAGACCCATTTCATGCCTCCCCAACTCCCCGCCTCTGTCAGCCAGCTTGTACTACGTAGTTCAATTTTTGACAAGATAAAAGTGTATTTGAATGTTTTTTATAAAGAGTCCTTCACCAAACGCCCTAATCACTTCCCTTTCCCAGATAAAACTTGGCACAGATGAGCAGGAGCTGAATGTACTTGTGTTCTTCTGACTCAAGGTCATCATCACAGCCTCCCTCCAAACTGTATGTGCATTTCAGACTGGATGTATCATGGGTCTGTGAGCTAAGAAAGGTGCTTTTGTTTAAATTAGCTTGGTTTTACTCATTTTATTCAGTAGACATTTATTTACTGAGCTCATACGCTATGCACAGAGCTATGATTCCCTACGTGTAAGAAGTTTACAGCTGAGTAAAGGACTGTAGATCAAGAACTAGCATAGATCCCTGAACGTGTATTGTAATTTTTAGAAAACTCCCCATGTGTCCCAAAAACTTCATCACCCCATGAGAGCTAGATGTTCAAAGTGGGTGACGATGAAGAAATAGAACCTGATTGATAAAGTCCATATCTCACTTTGAGGCATAATATTTAAACAGTTACCAGTGCAAGTATATGTAATGGACCATCAGTCTTCCAAGTGTTCTGAGGCTCATAGTAACAATGCCTACAACAGTCCGCAATCATTGCCTCCCCAAGACAGAAACAGCTTATTTCAGAGGTAGATACAAATAAAAACAGTATCTGTACTGCTTTTCTCCTAAGGAGTCTGAAACTTTTCTTGTAGTAACCTTGACTTACAAGAAATTCCAGTAGGCTTTGTTGAAAACCCTTGGGAAATTTGTATTGGCCCTGTTCCAGGGTGACTAGTTACTCTGAAGGGGTTACCGAAAAGGGGGCAAGGAGGGGGACACTGGATTTTGTCGTGTCTGGATGATACATGTTTTAGAAGCCCTGAATTTTGAAATATTTTAGTTCCTTTACAAGGCCCCTTGAGAAAACAGTCTGGAGAAAGGAGAATTGAGATTCCAAGTCTGATTTCTGGCTGGATTGCTCTTGCCTCCTGGACAGGCCATGTTGTCTCTGTCCACACCTCAGGTCCTCAGGGACTCAGGTGGCCGTAGTAAGGTAAAGCCAGTGTGTTGAAATCTATAGAAGAAGGGAACTAAGTGAGAGCATTTGGTAATGGTTCCTCTTTCCAATGAGGACAGTGGTATAGATTTGTATGTGCCCACATGTGGGCACTGCATGTATCAATCAATGTATGAATGGACGGGAGAGCTCCAAAGGTGACCAGGGCTTATAATGCCCTTAGGGGTAGCCCACCACAAGGCCTAGGCTTCCTATCTGGTATCAGTGTTTCAGTCTCAGCCACTTCCTGAAGGCACTACTCTCACTTCCCCTTGACTCTGAAATGCCTTTCACTCTTTGCCTAGGCTGAAGCCGATGTAGCTTCTCTGAACAGACGCATCCAGCTGGTTGAGGAAGAGTTGGATCGAGCCCAGGAGCGTCTGGCAACAGCTTTGCAGAAACTGGAGGAGGCTGAGAAGGCAGCAGATGAGAGTGAGAGGTGAGGGCTCTTCACTCGGCCCCGTTCCTAGCCTAGGCTTTTCCTCTTGGGGGGATAGGAGGGCTTCTCTGATCTTGGGGTTAAGGATTTTGCAGTTCCTTAGTGGGATCATTTCCTCATTTGATCCCAGGTGTAACTTTATTCGTTTGGTTCATTTAACATTAGTGGTTAATTTATTGGTTTTGTTTGTTTAACATGGGTGGTTTTAGACAAAGCATATAGGGGCTTGAAACCCCAAGGTTACAGAGAAGAAAGAGATCCTATTCCTGTCCTCACAGAGCTCACCATCCAACAAGAGAGATGGACCTGTAAACAAGAAATTCTAGGGATACATAAGGTGCTTTCATTCCTGCTGACCCTGGAGCAATTACACATTTTGAAAAAGATAACTGTTTTAAAGCACACCAAGAAGACTTAGACTTAGATAAAAATGGACTATCCGTTGTCCAGTAGCCCAACAAACAGGGGTAAGGGAAAACACAGATGAAACAGAAATATGATCTGCAAAAGTAAATCATTTGGGACTTAGTAATGCTAATGAGACCCACGCACCCATAAGTACAGTCAGACACTTCTGTCTTCCAAACCTGCTCCCGCTGCAGCGTGGCTCTACCTGCCTCACTGCTCCAAGGCTGAGCTTTGTGGTGGAAAAGGAACACCGTGGCCACGCAGACCAGCACAGCTTTATGTACTTTAGAAGGCATTTTCTCTTATGCTCAGCTGTTGAAGTTAATGTATTCATATTGCACAGGAACACTCTGTGAGACGAGGGAGAGTTCTGCTGCATAGGGGTGACAGAGTAGTGTGGTGGCTCAGAACACTGGACGTGTCGGTCTGTGCGGTAAGCTGGCCAGGTGAATGCAGTCGATCATTTTGTCCATTTCTCCATCTTTGAAGTAACTTTGTGTTCCCTGCCACCATGGGTAAAGAATGATTTCAGACTTGAGGACTAAAGAAGCTTTTTAGCTGAAGTTTTCAGCTCATAATTCATTGCTGCTTATTGTTTCTTCTCTAACCAAGAGTTTTGGAATTCTTTAAGATGACTCATCGTCTCTAACAGTGTACACATACCAGTGGTTTTGCGGCTGACTTCTTCCTGGAGTACGCTTGTTAATGAACGTAAAAGGCAGTCTGAATCCGGCAGTTAGACTTCGGAGTAAAAAGGAATTTCAAGACCATTTACTCCAAGCCCCTGGTTTTACAAATGAGAGCGCTGGGTTCAGCCTGATGCGGCCTGCCCAAAGTCACAGCCAGCTCATGGCTGAGTCAAGGCTAGAACTTGAGTCTCCTAAAACATGCTGCAGTGCCTCGTCAAAAAACAGTGGCCCATTTATCTTATTGCCTACTTAGATTTTGGTCATGAATGCCATTTTAACATGAATTGTTATACCGTAAGTCTGTAATATGTTATAAGTCAATTAACATTGTCTAAAACTTAACACCATGCGATAGGATCCAAACATACATATCAGCATAGGAGGTGGTGTCAGTCCTATCAACACCTCTATTATTAACGAGTTCCATTAAAGGCAAACTCATAGCTTCCTATCTAAAGTGTTAGGTTGACCCATATGAAATTGCTGTTTTTTATGCGTCTGGCATGGTCAAATATCAGCAATTGCATATGGTCCAGTCTGATATTTACATTTGTGGCTGATGAGGTAAGAACAACTACCTTCTTTGTGGGAGGAAGTATATGAAGATAAATGTGCTTTTGTTCTAACTTTGGTCCATTTTCAAGCTGAAGCTGCCCATCAGGAAAATAAATCCCATTATTTATATAGCAAGTAAAGAATATTGGCTCTCCTGTTTCCCTACCTCCCAGTTTCACAAGATTCTGACATGGTACCTTTTATTTAACATTAGATTCCTAGACAGTTGAAGTGTGAGGTTTCATTCGCAAGAAAAAGAAGTACATATCTTTCGGCCTTCAGCGTTGGAAACTCTTTTTTTCATGGCTTGGAAAATAAAAGTGGCTCTGTACTCTATTTTGATCTGCCAGTTACACTGAGCCGCAGAGACCACTGCAGTGCATTGTGTGGGTTTGCGAAGGTCAACTCTAAATCCTGAGTCTTGTTGCTTGTCTTCCTTTTCAGAGGCATGAAAGTCATTGAAAGTCGGGCCCAAAAGGATGAGGAGAAAATGGAAATTCAGGAGATCCAACTGAAAGAGGCCAAGCACATTGCTGAAGATGCTGACCGCAAGTATGAAGAGGTCAGATCCTGGGGCCCAAAGCCTTGTGGACCCCCAACAGTGGCCTGGGGTGGGTGGGTGGCCGGAGCAGTGTACACAGCCTTGCATTCTTCAGTGAACGGATCAGCTTCCTTGGCAGAAATGGGTGGTTTGGAGAAGCAGGTTTCTTTTGTCTGTGGAAAATGGTTCTCATTTTATCTGGCTAGGGGAACCCAGGCTTCATCCTGAAGCTACTCAGTAACACTGGGAAATACCAAAGCTTCTCCTCCTGCCCCTTCCCACAACACCCTAAAGACCAGGACTGAAGATCTTTGGCCCAGAGAAGGGAGAGTTGGGCCTCTCGTGTCTATGGAAGGAGCTTCTCATGCTGTCACCATGCAAACAGTTCTTGGAGTGATTCACCTGGCATGGTCCAGCTCAGGCAGCATAAACACGTGGACCGTGTACTTGCTTGGGTGATTGATTAGTGGAGGATATTTTCCGTTTGTCCTCCCCTTTCCTCAAAGTGGTAGACTTCCATTATCATTGTCGGTTCACAGTTTAATCAGCCTCTGAGCATGTCGCCATGAAAACAACTTCCTGTGTTAACAAGCAACCTAACTGTTAAGGTTTTAGTTTTGCCCTTAATGTACCATGGCCATTTTGAAATGGTGTTGACTCTCCTTTTTATTACAATTATCATCATCATTTCCAGATTGCATTAATTTTGAAATGTTTCAAAAGATCCTGTCTCTCAAGTCCTTTCTTTCACTGAATGCAGAGTTGACTTCCTTAGTCATCACACCAGCTCATCTCATGTTAGTTCTCTTGCTATTCTGTTGGCATTTTTACCCTCTTCCACAAAAAGGAGGTTGAGGTACAGTGTTTTCTTGGCAGCCTCTACCTTTTGGCCTAAAATGCATCATGTCTCATCATCCTGCTATTTTTGAGATTGTGAATTTCATATTTCTCCCTTCTTCCACACTTTGGTTTGGCTGCTGTATAATTACAGAGACTTCATCTGGGTCAAACTCCAAATGAGACTGCCCATCCATAACTAGCCATTCTGGGTCTTTGATATCCCCTCCACTGGCACTCCTGATGGAGAGTAGCTTCTCTCTAGGCCACAAGAAAGGGGATCATCTTACTTGTAGACAAGCTCTTCTGGGGGCTGATGGATCCAATCCCCACCCCCTTACTCAAAGCTTGCAAGCCCATGGTGTTTGTGTGTATTGTGTTTGTCGTGCTGCAGGTGGCCCGTAAGCTGGTCATCATTGAGAGTGACCTGGAACGTGCAGAGGAGCGGGCTGAGCTCTCAGAAGGGTAAGCGGGCCCGGCGCCAGGTCGCTGTGTGTGGGGTGCTGCAGAACAGTGACTAAACAGCATGACCTTCTGGCAGCTGCACATTTACCTGTTTCAGCTCCGGGCTCCTTATGTGCTCATTTGACATGGATGAGCCACGAGTCTAGAACATGGAGGACTTGTGTGGGGTGTCTGTGTATGAATGCGTGTATCACTGCATGCCTTACCTGCACACTGATTTTGAGAATGGCCTTGTGCATTTCCTGTGTCCACTAACAGCCAAGTTCGACAGCTGGAAGAACAATTAAGAATAATGGATCAGACCTTGAAAGCATTAATGGCTGCAGAGGATAAGGTACTGATGGCTCATGTGTGGTTTTTAGGTTTAACTCCAACCCAGACGTCTTTCAGCTTCCAGTACCTACTGGTTCGTTTGGTGTAAAGACCGCACCTTCACTACACCCTCTGCTGTCTTATATCTTGCTTTAAGTGCTTTCTTTGGGCTCTTTATACTCCTTTGTTTTTCCTTCATAAATGCTCTTCGGTGCAGCCAAAAAAGGAGCCAAATTATCACACTTCAAAGTTGTTGGAGTTTGTCACCCTGCCTTTCTGCTTTTACAAGGCTGTCCATGGCGAAATTGAGTGTTTTACTGCCTGATGATTTGGCTACTTTAAGGCAGCCCTTTGTTCTCTAGGACTCAGTTTTCATTTTTTCCCATCCCTCTCCCTTTTCTCTCCTCCTTCCTTTGGCTTGTCTCCCACCCTTTCTGCCTCTGATCGAAAACATTAGCAAATGTGCCGAGCTTGAAGAAGAGTTGAAAACTGTGACGAACAACTTGAAGTCACTGGAGGCTCAGGCTGAGAAGGTAGGCCAGGAGCATGGTGTGGGGGAAAAGGCACCTCCTCAGAGCTGCTCAAAAGACACCTACTTTTTCTCTTCCGAGGCCCTCCTGCTAAAAGCACCAGTCCGTTAGGCATTTTAGTAAATGGCATCGTGTTGACGTGATTTCCTGATGGTTATTGAATAACAGATTCTTCTTTAATAGAGAATATATCTTATGTTGAGTATATGAGTCATCTGTAACAATTTAATTTAAACCAAGTGCCAAGTGGATGTTATCTTGTTCTTATCCCATGTAAAACAATAGGCAGGAGAACAGAGACTGTATTGTAGTATGCCATTTGATCTCCGAGGCTCCATTACCTCCTGAGAGAGCCCCAACATCTGTTTGCTGGGCTGGCATTTTATTTGTATTAGAAGACATGAGTATAGAGTGAGCTGCGGTCTGACATCTGGAATGTTCTTTCTAATTACAGTACTCTCAGAAGGAAGACAAATATGAGGAAGAGATCAAGGTCCTTTCTGACAAGCTTAAGGAGGTAATGTTATGAATGTTTTGGGCAAAGCCACCTGAATTTTAAATGAGTTTGTTTTTACGGAGCAGCTCAGGGCTTTTTCATTTTAAAGTTGGGCTGATCCACATCAGGAATGTCCAGAGGCGGTCTCAGAGTTCCTGTGCTGTGCTAGCCACCACCCCTCATGTAGTGGCTGGCTGACAAGTAGTGTCGAACCCCTTTTGTGGATACTGCGCTTGATTTCCATTTTCTTGTTTTTCCTGTGGAAATCTGAAACATCCCAATTTTGACCAAAACAAATTGAATCATTGCAGGCTGAGACTCGGGCTGAGTTTGCAGAGAGGTCAGTAACAAAATTGGAGAAGAGCATTGATGACTTAGAAGGTAAGATCTTAAGTTTTGTTTTTCATTTAATTCTTATGTTTGAGTAGTGACCTGGCAAAACAATGTTCTAATCCAAGTACATTCACCTTAATATACTCCTTCGCTCTTGCACATTCCTCCTGTCTGTCCTTGGGGTTTCATTCTGTGGCTCTTAAGCTCTTGGACCTGAATCCTCTGCTCACCAGATCAGTGTCAGCCACCAGACGGGGACATCTTTTTTTGTGATGGCAGACGCCATGCATGTTACCTCATACTCCTCAGATGTGTGGCAAGGTTATTTTTCATCATGGGTAAGGTGGTTGTAGGTGAGAATGACTCCAGGGTATTGTCTGTCGTTAGTGATACGTACCCCTTAATTGTCAAAAAGGTATGGATTTGTTCTTAGATGCAACCCATCTTCTTTCAAGTGTGAATTCAGTGTAGGGTTTGGGGTTTTTGTCATTAATTACCGTGGTAAAGGCTCTGTGTACTGAAGGAGGAGTGGGGGTAGGATATTGTATTTTGAGATTACACTTACGCATTTCTCCCCTAAAGTGTTCAGGTTTTATTGTAACACTCACTCTGTCTCAAAGAAATCCTAAGTGTTGAGCCTAGAGGCTTATGAAGGATCAGCAATAAAAAAGAAAGAATGAAAAAACTACGTAAAATATATACATCCAAGGTTGAAGGAGCTAGAGAAGGGGCTGGAGGTCACTGCAGACGATAACCAAGCTGGTGGGGAGGAGAGGATAACAAGTGGCTGCAAACAGTCTGTCCCGGTGCACCAAAGTATGAAGCCATCATTGCAGACGCCATAAAGAGTGTGGCTCTCCTCGCTTGTCAGGCCTTCTGGACCTCCAGCAGGGCAGCTTGAGTGGGGAGACCCATGAGGAGCATACATGGCGCTGAGAAGTCCGTGTCCCGGTGGCCTAGTCTGGTCAGGAAGTCAGTGGTTTGAAGGTGGAGCCAGATAAGGATTACAGACTATAGTCATGAACTGTCCTTCCAAAACACTGCCCTTGGATATTTTTTCCACTGTTTATAGTTGCAGTCGGCTGACGACTCCAGTGTAATTAAAATACAGCTCTAAAAAAGACAGACGTTCTATTACCCACCCAGAAGACATCCTTCTGTGGTTTTATTTAGGGCTTAACACAGTTTACTGATATACCTACCATACTTGTTATGATTTTCATATTGCGTCTTTCTTGTTTTATTTTCTAATGGGTTTTGTTCTTTTTGTTTTTGTTTCAATTCATTTAAAAACAAAACGCACGCCTCCTGCATTGGCCACCCGCTGCGGCACCACTTCCTTCCTGCATTGCCCTTTTCTTGCTGCTGTGTCGGGATGGCGCCCGTGCCACCCTCACTCACCCTCCATCTCTTGATCACTCTCCATGTCCTTGCACCTCTGCCTTCCACTTCCTGGTCATAGACGAGCTGTATGCTCAGAAACTGAAGTACAAAGCCATCAGCGAGGAGCTGGACCACGCTCTCAACGATATGACTTCCATGTAAATGTTCATCCACCCTGCCTGCTCACATCCGTGCGCTCGTGCTAATGTGATAGACTCAACACTGCTCCCTCCTGTGCCTCCAGAATCTCCATCTTTACGCCTTTCTGCTTACTCTCTTTGCATAACCTAGAATAGTCATTGTTTTTTTCACATTCTACTAATATAAAGGCCAAGTAGATTAAGTCTGTCTGTAGAAATCATTTTCCCTTCAGGATCCATTCATTCTCAATCTCTAAGCTAGACTGTCCCCACCAGGCAGTGGACAGGAATATGAATACCTTGAGCACTGTCCTTTCAGGAAATTAAACTAGGTTCAAGTGAAATTAAAAGGCCATGTAGTTGTATAGAACTTCCCAAAGAACTATCAAAAATTAATTTCCTGAGATTCAATTAAATAAAATATGATTATTTTCCAAAAGGAAATATAAATTTAGGAACCCTGAAGTGTCCGTTACTGAGGCTCTGAGGGAAAGGAAATTATCCAATACAGCTGTAAAATATCTCTTCCACACTGTTAAGAATTATAGAGAGAAGTGAACCCTCTGCTGAGTAACCAAGGCTTTAAATTTCTGGTTATATAAAAGAAATTAAAATCCCCCCAAAACCCCACAATTTGTGTCGAAGAAATGGGACATAAACATATTACAATATGAATTTTGGGAGTTAATGGCCCAGCTTTTACTACTGGGAGGTAATAAGTAAATAGTCTTGTTCTCATGAGAACCTTGAGCATATACAACTAATTTACATATTACTAACCAAACCTAAATGTTTAAACTTGTTCTGCCTCTTTAAATTCTAACCTGGAATGTTTCACAGAGGGTTCCTGTCATTGTAATAATCTGGCACTGAATTCCCAGATAATCTGGAAATTTAATTTTCCAGGCCCACCTGTCCCTTTACCCATGCAGAAAAATGGTAGTTTGAAGAGTGTGGCATGTGCCTGCTGCCTTACAGCTCATAGAATCTCCACATTACCCTTAGAGACATGACAGTCACCATGGAAACCGGAGAGCATTTCATCTTCTCTGGCCTCATTTATAAATGAGAGGGTGGGTCAGATCATCTGTCTCCACAATCTTTTCCATCTGACCACAAATGGTAGTTCTATGGGAAAAAATTAAAGCATCAAGTATGAATAAATTTTCTAAAAGATGGGTTTAGCTCAAAAGTTGTTTTTAAATTCTGGTCATGGTTTTTCTTAAAATGGCCCCTTACCCAGGGAGCCCTGTGGTACCTCCGGTCCGGACCCTGTGGGGCGGGGGCTGGCCTCCCACGGGTGCAGCTGGCGGCAGGTGTGCATGTCTGCTTCTCGCCTGTGTTTCAAGCACTGCTCTCATCTGTTAGTCTGGTTTTCCTTTTTTCCATTGTGCCACTTTTGTTTCTTTTTCTCCCACCTTTTCTCTTCATGCAGATAAATTTCTTTGCTTCACTTCTCCCAAGACCCCTTCATCAAGCTGGATGTTCCACCTCTCTGAGCTCTGCCGTCTGTCTCTCCTCCAGCTGACCCTGGTTCTTTCCCTTAGCGTCCCGCCCAGGGCCAGGCGCACATTGTGCTTCCTGTTGTACAGAAGCTCTTCATTTCAGTGTAAAATAAACACTGTGTAAGCTATTTCTGTTTGCTATTCTTTTTGCTTCACATTTTAGTTTCAACACTGAATAAAACTACAAATATGCTTCACGCATGTGAGGGATAATTTTTGGCTGGGTTTTTTCTTTGTTGTTTTTTTTGTTGTTGTTGGATTTTGTTTGTTTGTTTTGGCATTCTGAACATTGTACGTTAGTATCAAGAGTTTCTAAGGCAGTAGTTCCTTGTGGAACTTCTAAAAGAAAATACTCATGCCTGAGCCCCTCTCAGAGTTTTGGTTTCTAAAGGTTAGAGTGAGGCCCTGGGCATTTGTGGGTTTTTTAGGGATTGGGATAGTTCTGGTATGTAGCTGGGTTAGAACCTCTGCACAGGATACCCTCCTTGTTGGAGTCAGAGGATCCACCTGGAGCAGCATCTTCCTCTGCCAGAGGTCTAGCTGTGGATGTGGTGAGCCTTCTGTGTTGACATTCAGGTGGCCCTGCTTCAGCAGCTGTGGCTAACTAATGAAAGGCCCACGAAGAAGGCTCCATAGCCACCCCGCATTGCTGGGAATTCACATATTGGGAAAGGGGAAAAAGAACTGGATCAAACTGTAAGCTGAGGTTCTTGTTGATCCTCCTTTTACAGCACAAAGGATCGTTAAAGCTTTTTAAAGTCTCTTCTTTACTTAGCCACCTTCATTTTGATCATGAAATGACATCTCAAGTTTTCTAATTCTGATTATGTTCAAGCCGAGATTTTTGTGCTCTGAAGCACATCCTGTATTCTTTAGGAGGGGCTGTGCATACATAATCTTTGCAATGATAGCTGTTTTTAAATTTGTGGATGCTTTTAAAGTATAGTCATTAACATTAATTCTTGAGGGGTTTTTTCCTGCAAAAGTAGTTAGAGGAAATTATTCAGAATACAATTACATTTTATTTGAGCTTCTCTGCTCACTTCAAAAACAACAATCAAGTGATTAAAAAAAAAAGTAGAACTTTATAATGATGCAGACTTTTGTTTCCTAATTCCCAACATTTCTCCATCCTCAACAGTCTGGGTGCATTTCTCCTGTATTTTAAATATGGGCGATCTTTGTGTGTGTAGTTTTTGTTAGGCTACGAGGTTTGATATACAACTATTTCATATATTTTGGTATACCACTATTTATGCTCAATTTATATTCAAATTTGGACAAGCTGAAAATAATATTACTCTACAAAGACTTCAGAGAAGATAATAAATAAGGCCGTAAATTAAAATATTCTAGTAATGGTATAATAGTAGGCTCTTCGAAATTTAGATTCTGGACAAAGTCTCTCCCTTGAGAGTATGAAGACTTCTGTAATTTCATGTTTTTCTTTTCCTAAGGCTCCATGGGCCTGCTTTTGACTCTCATTCTGCCTTGTTCTTTTTTAAAATTCTGAGCAATAGAAGTGGGCCCTTCTAAGTAACCCTGCTTCCTTCAACAGACCAAGTCTGAAAGTTCTGCTGAGCATGTGCTCAGTTAATTCTGAAGGCACATCTGTTGTTTTGAAACCCTCCCTGAGACCTTTGCACTTTGTATATTTATTCTACAGGGGGGAATGAGGAACTGATAGATTGGGAAGGTAAATCCGGAGTAGCCCAGGAAGATGTGGGTACACAAGAGGTTAAACAGCAAGTTGGTTTTATCAAGAAATTGTCAGAGCTTAGGCTTCTAGTTCATAGTACCACGCCATAGCTGCAGCTGCTGCCAAGAGCCTCAGTTGGACCAAAAGCACTGCCAAGTCTGGGCACTAGAGGCCCCAGACATCTAGGAGGCAGGACAGGAGGGGAAGGTAGGCAAGTGTATAACCGATTCTGGTCCCTGCCCTCAGGCCACCCAGGCATATCAGCTCCATGGAAGGTGAAGTGGAACAGGTCCCAAGGAGGATGTGGTAGGGACAGCTATCATTTAAGCCAAATTCACATTGATCCTCTGGATCCCCTAGGGTTTCTCCAAGGTGCTTCCAATCCAGCTTGGCTGAATGTTGGCTCAGCAACCTGAAACATCCTGCCTGCCCTTGGCAGTAGTTCAACATGTGAGAGAGTGAATGTACTAGTCGCATTTTGATTTTGAAACCCCCAAGCATATGCCATACACAACATACCATGGAAGGTAGTTGGGATGTGGTAAAGAGATGAACCAGAAGTGTTCTTAGCCATCTGGTGGGCGGACAGATGAGTGAAGCAAGTCTGAGCTAATGAATGGTATGTGTTTAGTAAAAGAGGAAGATAGAAAACTTCTGACTGGGAGCTACCTGGAGGAGATGACATTGGGCCAGGGTTTCAAATATTCAGAAAATTTGCCTGAACAAAGAGGACTAGGCAGGAGGTGTCTTAAGCTAGAAAGCTTCTTCCCCATCTCCTGCCATTTATAAGGGAGCTCAAATAAGAACTGATTGATTTCCCCACAGACCTGGGGGTTAGAGACTGGACATTTTCATTTCCCCCAGGGGTAGGGGCTGTCAGCTTTTCAAGGTCATTAAGTAGAAATTCTGGGTTCAGGGTGTCACCATCATTCAAAACAATCTTGCGCCCTCCGGGTTTTTGTGGTAGGTTCCAGGCCTTTTCATTGTTTGGGTTTCCCCCGGATCATCAGCTACAGACTGATTCTTGGGGTTGGCTTCCTTTCCATGGGAGCAGATTACATGCCAATGTATAAAATTTATCTCATGCTGGTCTCTGTGTGGAGGGTAGAGATTTGTTCATTTTATATATACACACATCTGGCTCCAAACATACATGCCATCTTCAAGAAGTAAAGATAAATTTTAAGTCAGTTTTGGGTGGAGATAAGTGCCTGTACTTTTGCTGTTACGAGTAGGATAACATGCACCTGTATCAAAACGACGAGAATTCAGAATCTGTACCCCGTATGATGGTGATTGGGGGACAGGGACAGGGAGCTTAATTCTGCGTTTCAGAAAGTGTTAATGCAGCAGGGGTGGCTGCCCCTCCTTGGTACTACCTGAAAGGAAGGCCAGCCCTCGGCATGGAGATGAAAAGGGCTGGAATGGGGTTGAGCAGAAATGGGCAAGGCAAAGCGTTGCCGCAGGTCTCCACTGGGCACTGGCAAGGAGTGGAGACGCGCTGGGCTCGACTCCAGCCCTGCCTGGGCTCCTCAGGCTGTTGCCAGAAACTGCATTCAGCTCGGCTCATGCAGTGGCGGTCAGGTGCAAGAGGAACATCCACTCTCTCTCCCCTTCACACCCTATTGCTCCTTTTCCTTCCCACCCTTTCCCACCAAGAGGGAAGTCCTGGCCCTTCCTAAGTCTGCCAGGCCTTTTCCATCAACCTCCCTGGGCACAGGACAGATGACCATGGGGTAAGGGTAACCTGTTCAGCAAGTAACCAGTGTCAGGTATCTCTGTGTTCTGTCTGTTAACTCCCTCTCTCCAACTCTAGCTAACTTCTCCTCTTCTGCCTCTTTTCTGCTAACCTGCTTGCTGACCTGTACAGATCAACTCTACCAGCAACTTGAGCAAAACCGCCGCCTAACTAACCAACTAAAGCTGGCTCTGAATGAGGATTAAACTTAAGTGGGAAAGAACTTGGGCTGAATTCTAGGAATTGAGCCCATGGTCAGGAAATCTAAGACTGTTACACCTTCAACTATAGGGTTGCTTTCTGCAGAAATGCTCATGAAAGGATTCAGCTGAAAGGCTGGCCTTGCCTGCATTTTCCTCTTATATCTGGAATAATTCAGTTCTCTCTAACCCCCAAATAACTTTTATGGTAAAATACAATCGTTATGTATATGAATAAATATTTACAACAATTTAGCACTCCTCTTTGCAGCAGAAGGTCCTCTTATTTGAACTGGTATATAATGAAGACCTCAAAAAAATGTTTTCTATTTTCTACAGAGAACTGAGTCCTACTTTAAGTTAGAAAGCCAAAGCAGAGGGGTGTGTATGTGTATAACTATATATATATTATATATAGGGTGTAATATATAATATATATATTCCTATTACCTGTTCATATTCCTACCTTCTTAATATCTGGTATAGTGTTTGAAATATGATTAAATGTACCTATGCTTGGGCGAAATAGCTTTTGAAAACAGGAACTCATGTCAGAAGTCCCTGGTTGTCTGAAAGGTATGCTTTTATTCAGTCTAACGGTGTTGTAAGAACCTGATGAGAATGTCATGCTGATAATAAATAGACCACTGTAAGAATAGTAAGAGAATGTCCTACTGAAGTGTGCATGAAACATGTTGATACTTTTTTTCTAATGAGCAACAGAAATAAATTATTTCAAAAGTCATCAGAAAACCTATTTACATTACCTTTGTTTTCTGTGAGATTGTGTTGCAGCACAACTCCCAGACCGTTAACTGCCTGTAACCCCAAAATGTCTGCTGTCATTAACTCCAGTGCTGCAAGCACCTCTCCCTGTTCCCACAGCACACGACCAGTGAACCTTCCCCAAACCCACCTGCCTTTTATTCTCAGAGTGGAATGTTGGGGAAGGTTCGCGTGACTGCTCTGTGAGAACCTGCTGTGCCTGTAGTTCCTTCGGGTCAAAGACGGCTTCCTTCTTTGTAGGTCCTTGTCTAGAAATGAGTAATGCCTTACAAGCATGCGTAGTCCTAATCAGCTCATCCTGTGTTTGTGATTGATGTTGCCTGCCTAAATGTGCAAACCACCATTGTGTCCAAAGCGCAGCTATTCATGACTTAATTTTCTAATCCCACCACAGAGAAAGTGGCTCATGCCAAAGAAGAAAACCTTAGTATGCATCAGATGCTGGATCAGACTTTACTGGAGTTAAACAACATGTGAAAACCTCCTTAGCTGCGACCACATTCTTTCATGTTGTTTTTGTTGTTTTTTGTTTTATTTTGTTTTTTAACACCATGCTTACCATGAAACCCCTTAAATGCATTTTTATTTACTTTTACCACTGTCACAGAAACCTCCACCAAATACCAGCTACATCGGGGGTGGGCAACACACACACACGCACGCACGCACGCACACACGCACGCGTGTGCGGCAGGCCCCTGTCAGAGCGACGATGATTTAAATGTGCCATTTCCCCAGGTTGACGTTGCCACACTTTGTAGAGCGTTTAGCAACACAGTATGCTTAGTCAATCTAGGAATCCTCACTAAAGCAGAAAGATTTCCACTCAAAGTGCCAACAACATATATTCAACAGGAAGATAAAATTACTGTTGGAAACAATTAGGTGTGGATTGGTGCTACTTTAAACAAAAGGTCCCACTGTGGTCTTCCATTCAATATTGTACAATTTAGAATTCTGTCCAACACTAACTTGTTTTCTCTTGAGTTTTACTGTGAGATGAGACTATGGATTCTGTATGTCTGAATTCACTAAGCCAAGGGTTTGTAAGCCACACTGCTCTTTTAGGACTTTTATTTCCTCTAATTGGCGCCCTTGGAATGCAATTCAACTCATAGGATAGCATTCAATGTGGATTTCCACTCCTTTCATTTCTCCGTGTTAAAGTGAAAATTTAGGCACTACATAAAATTGATAAACATTTAAGAGTTAAAACTACAGTAGCCCCCTTTATCCACGGGGGATACATTCCAAGGCCCCCAGCTTACGCCTGAAGCCACGGATAATACTGAACCTTACATACTATGTGTGTTCTCCAATACATACATACCTTTTCCCCTCAAGGGAGTGCTTTCCAGCTTCTCTTTGGCATGTCTGAACTGCCAGCATTACTACTCTTGCACTTTGGGGCCATTATTAAGTAAAATAAGGGTTACTTGAACACAAACACTGCGATGCTGAGACAATGGATCTAATAAGCAAGAGGGCTACTAAGTGTGGAGATGCTGGACAGAGGGATGGTTCACGCCCTGGGCAGGACGGAGCAGGACAACACAAGATTCCATCACGCCACTCAGAACGACGTGCAATTTAAAACTTAGGAATTATTTCTGAAATTTTTCATTCAGTATTTTCCAACCATGGTTGACTGCAGTTAACTGAAATGGAGAAAAGTGAAACTGCGAATAAGGGGGGAACTACTGTATATATAAACATTGTATAATGGTATGGAATAAAATGCACATTGTAGGACATTTTCTAAAGTTGGTGGTTCTGTCATTTGTATGTTTTTACTTTGTGAATTTTAGATCATGGGACTGACCTACCTTCCCTCGTGAATGGTTTCTTAAAGCAAAACAATATCCCAGAGTCTAGGGAAAACTGGGTCTCAAGTATTACCTTCCCAGAAGCATTCAAAGCAGCATCCCCTTTGGTCTGTTAAAGTTACCACAATCTGCAAAGACTCTTTCCAAAAGCCTTTTTCCCCATCATTGGTGTATATCTGCATATAAAGAGAGCCTTTCGCAGTAACTTTACTGGTTTACTAAGGCTTCAGCAGTGGCACGGGCACACGCCAACAAACTGTGGGTTGACGCACTGAGGCCGGGGCTGCCCCCAGCACTGTGGTTCCACTTAAAAGTGTTGCTTTAAGGGGCTATGTGATTTTTCTGCTTTCTGAAAGTGAGCTCTAAATTCTAATACATGTTCATTTTCTCCGACTTGGAAACTAATAATATCTTAAGTTGCTCTTGAAGACGTTAAGCAAACAAAAAATTTACAACAATATTAGTTGAGGGGAGGGGAGGACGTCCTCATGAAAAGCAAACATGGTAGAATAGAAATAAAGGAAAACTCCATTTGGATGCGTGGGTAATAGTTTCACTGAAAAGTATTAAATATCTCTGCAACTGTTCTTCCAAGCCCTTTTATCAAGTATTTTCTCTTCACAGAAAGAAGGGGTGTAAGACAAATAAGTGCTCTGGGTCCCAACCTTCCCACATCTTCACCACCCTAGACTCACCCCTGCTGGTCCTCATCGGACAAATGCTTCTCTGCCTACCTAGTCATAGAGGCCCTTCCAAAACCCGGCCCCCTTTCACTTTGGGAGCCGGACCTGGCTTCCTCTTATTGGCTGCCTGGCCTGTCAACTCCCTGAATCTGAGATTCTTTTTTTTTTTTTTTTAACTTTATTTATTCATTTTAGAGAGGGAGAAGAGAAACCTCAACTTGTTGTTCTACGTTATTTATGCATTTACTGCTTGATTCTTGTGTGTGCCCTGACCAGGGATCGAGATCAAACCCACAAACCTGTTGCATGGGGACGATGCTCTAACCAACTGGGCCACGGGCCAGGGCTGAGAATCTTCATCTATGAAAACGGAGTTGAGTACCTAGCTCCTAGGTGATTGTTGTGGAATTTGAATGTGTAACCTCCATAGTACAGTACATAGCAGAGTGCCTGGAGCATGCCATGAACTGCTGCTGTCCGCAGCCTGCCACACGTGCTCCAGAGACCACCACGGAGGGTATTTATTCTACATGGTGAAGCTGGGACAACACTGACTTTGCCCCAAATGATGATGGTTATTAATGCTATTCTCAGATACCGTATGCCAGGACCTGTTGTAGGCACCTGAGAAGTGTTCTTTCAGCTTCACACCCATCCCCATTTTACTAACAGGCTCCGGGAGGCAGAGTCAACCTGCTCACGGTTCCATAGCTCACAAGTAGTGGGGTTGGGTTCCAAACTCAAGACCTGTGTGACAGCAAAGCCCTTTTTAGATGCTTTTCTTGTTTCAGACGTTTTTCCACGAGAGGAAAAGCAACTACTAGGCGTAGGTAGAAACAGATGAAGCAGCAGGAATATTTGGGAGGAGGAGAGGGGAAAGGTGTAGGTTAAGTCAGCTTGTAGCTGACGGTGATCACAAGTGGGTGATTTAATGTCCTCCTTGGGTCCCAGGGATCAGATGAAATCAGGGAAACATCGTGCCATTTCAAAGAATTACTACCTGATCTTTCTGATAAATAGAAAAGGGAGAACACCCTTGCTCCACAGGACACACACCTTGGGTCTGACCCAGTGTGATAAAGTAAACATGCTGTGCTGCGAGGTGTGGGGGGAGAGATTGGGGCCCTTCAGGGTGGGAACACGGAGGCCGGAGGCTGATAGGATTGCCGTTTAGGAAACCGTGAAGCACAGAGAAAGAACTCAAGATTCATACTCTGAATTCCATTGCTGAAACTCGGCAGGCCCAGATTTCAGAATGAACAGCTAGAAAAGTTGCCCTGTTCATAATGAAGTGCTGTGGAACTCTGCAGAGGAAGACTAGAGAAGATTATAAGTATTTTCCAGAAATACGTAAATTTGTGATGAGAGTTCTACAGTCTGTTATTAAGGATGAAAGAAAAGTACTTTGTGGATACATTCTGACCTTTCCAAGGCTGGCACTGAAGAGAACAGTTCCCCTACTTGCTGCTTCTAAAGATCACTGGTGTGCTCTGGTGTGTATCTTCCAGAGTTTAAATATTTGGGGTCTGGTTTGTTTTTCCTCTGTGGGGGTGGGGAGCAGAAATGGCTTTTTTACTTGAACAAATATTTGAGTGTATGTTCACCATTTTTTCTACTTGTTAACTCAATTTGTAAATGTGATTTTTTTTTTCAATCTGTAGTCCGAAAAATCTGAATTCTCCAACTTAAAAAAAAAAAAAAATCCTGGGGTGTTCAGGGAGCCATCATTTCAAGAATTGGAGACGGGTTTGGAAAGAAATGTCAGACAGCTCAAGAAGTGTTCCATTGTATATACTTTTTGACATTGAAGGTTTTCAGAGCTACGATCTTCCAACAGATGTCATAAATTTTTTGTGTCAAACAATTAATGAAGCTGTGCTCTGCTTTCACTAATACGGATGCATCTTTGGCTAAATTTTTGACAAATCGGTATCGGCCCCCAGGGTGGAACTGGTTCCTGCTGCCTGTGAGTTTTATTTCCATCTGTTACCAAGGCTGGGGAGAACAAAGAGTCGAGTCAAGGCCTTATCAGAGCCTGCCAGGCCTGATGCCATAACTGAAGTGCTGATTCAGACCGGGAAGAGGCTCATACCCGTCGGGGCCTAGAGATGTTCGGTGGCTTGCGCAAGGTCATTCAGCTAGTTGGGTCAGCCTCAAGGCGTTCAGCCCTCCTGTGGGGCCGGCAGCCCAGTGCGAGGCTTGGAAAGCGGAGGGCGGGGGCCAGCTTTGAATCCTGCTCCACCACTCACTGTGTGTCCCCGGGTTAATTTTATCACTTGAACAGCAATTTCTGTGTCCTTAGAGGATATGGATGTTTTGCCTCTTCCCATGCCTGTGCGCTTCTTCACAAGGCTGAGAATGAAACAAGGCGAGGCAATAGGCGTAGCGTGCGCCCCCTTCCTCTCCCTCCATTCCCTCTCTGTGCCTCAGCCCTGAGCCTTTAATGCCACTGCACTGGGTCCTTGAGGAAATGGAAAGCTAACTTTTTTCCTTTTAAAAATGAAAATCCCCAGTACCATTCCTCCAGAGGTTGCTCATCGCATTGCAAGGGTACCCCACACATACAAGACATTCAAAACACTTTTGTTCACAGGACAAATGGCCCAGACACAAATGCTGAAGTAATAATTCCAGAGTCGTTAATCACCTGGAGGTGAAGAATGTCTCAAAGTAATAGATTCAAATTTCATTTTTAAGCAAAACACTGGCCCTTGAAAGTAAGTTTCTGTTGCTCCATTCATGAACCGCATGAGTATGTGTTGCTGAGTGAAAGGAGACACAAAGTGGAATCCTGCTCATAGGCTTTGCTGCAGATGTAAATGAGGGCAGTTCAACCCTCCCTCGTTCCTAAGGAACCACCTGGCAGGACCAGTTCCGAATCCACTGTCTTCAGAGGGAAATCTAGTGACAGGTAAAAAAGGGGCGGGGTGGGGGGGAGTGTGTGTGTGTGTGTGTGTGTGTGTCTCTCTCTCTCTCTCTCTCTCTCTCTCTCCCGCCCCCCCGCCCGCCCCTCCAAGGCAGGACCAGTTCCGAATCCACTGTCTTCAGAGGGAAAGCTAGTGATGGAAAGGTAAAAGCCGGGGGGGGGGGAGGCGGTGTGTGTGTGTGTCTCTCTCCCTCCAAGGGATGATCCTTCTGTCTCCCGAAGGACCTGGCTGGGCCACAGTCATAGAAGAGCCGGCTCCTCTGGCCAGCTGTTGCATGGGGGTGGGGATGAGAAGGTGAGGGACCCTGATTTGTTTTCAACTCAGGACATACTGAGGATTTGGAACTCTTTCCAGTGGGGAACTCTCGATGCCTAGACCCATAAATCGGATATTAAACTCCCAGGTACATGCGGTGGGATAATATAGCCCCGTAGGCTTCCAATGAACCAGATTTTGATATACTGACCACACCCCACACCAGCCCCCATCCCATCCCAAGCCCACTTCTGTGAAAACCATGTTTCACAATAAAACAAATTGCCACGTAACTGCTTGAATCATGCTTTGGTCTAAGGACACTGCAGGAGGAAGAAATTTTCCTCTGCCCTTGAAGGTTCTTTTAGCTAGTCTACATGAGACATTAACAAGAGAAAATAATGAAATTTAATTGCATATGTTCGTTCATAGGGGGAACCTCACATACATGAGAGATTCAGGGATAGAAGGTTAAAATGAGGTACATATGACTGAGTAAGGATGAGCTAGGACACTTTGGAGCTTCAGAAGGGAGAAAGGTAGTTTGCAGACAGTACGAAAAGCAGATGTTCAGTAAGTAGATGTCAACCCTGCTCTGTAGGTAAGTCTTAAAAAAGTTATCTCTAGAAATAACTCTTATTCTGTGCAAAGCCCAAGTTTGAATACTTTGAGAGCTAAAAGTTTTCCATGGGCCCACAGGGTCTCAATTATCTTCAGTTCAAAATAATTTACATGCCAAAGTGGCACATCTTGCGGAGGCCTATTCTGAACCCCTTCAACACCATTATCTGATCCAAAATGGTTCAGTAGTGTTGCTAAAAGCCCAGTGATAAGCCTATTAGAAATGTGAACCAGTACCCAGGCAGCAGAGTTTTCATTTTTGTTTTTAAGGTGACATCATTGGGATGGCTAGCATACCTGTACCTCAGCACCCAGCCAGGGCATGATTAATTGTTGGATTACTCAACTGAAGATTGCCATTCCGTGATTTGTCTTCCTGCTGTGTCCTTAGAAAG